ACAAGGCATCTAAAAGAGCATACATCATAACCAAGTAGGCTTCATTCTAGGGCTGCAGGAATGGCCCAACATACTCAGATTAATAAATGTAATACACCACATAAATAGAAAAAAAACCCCATATGATCATCTCAGATATGCATAAAACCTTTGACAAATGCAATATCCATTCATGAGAAAAACTCTGGTAAAGATATTTACAGAAGAAATCTATCTCAACCTGATAAAAACCATTTATGACAAACCTATTGCCAACATCACATTAACTATCATTTCTTCCCTCTAAAACCTGGAACAGGACAAGAATGTCTACCATCACCACCCCTGTTCAACATAGCCAGAAACATTAGCCAGAGCAATCTGCAAAGAAACAAAAAGGATACACACAAGCAAAAAAGAACTCAAATCATTCACAGATTCTTTAGATAGAAGATCCAGAAACTTCACCAAAGGATGCCAAGAATTAAACAACAAACTCAGCAATGTAGCAGAATACAAAATAAACACAAAAAGATCAATAATGAATTCAGTGAAAATTAGGAAAATAATACCATTCACAATAACATAAAGAAAAAGTAAATACTTAAGAATTAACCTAGGGGCCAGGGAGATAGCTCAGTAGAATAAGTGCTTCCCTAGCAAGCGCAAGGGCCTGAGTTGAATCCCCAGTTCCAAAAAAAAAAAAAAAAAAAAAAATCAATCTATGCCAGGAATGGTAGTGCATGCCTGTAATCCCCAGCACTTGGGAGACTAAAGGCAGGAGGATCACAAGAAGAGGCAAGCCTAGGCTACATAATGAATTCAAGTCCAGCTTGAAGTATATACAGCAAGATGACCCTGTCTCAAAAAAACAAAAGAAAGAACTTAACCAAGGATGCAAAAGACCTCTACAACAAAAACTAATACTCTAAAAAAGGCTATTAAGGAGGATATCAAAAAACGGAAAGCTCCCCTATTCCCTATTTTTTTTAATGCATTTAGCACAAGGTGTACAGGATCTCACTACACAGATTGGACTCGTAGTGATCCGCCTATTTTTAGCCTCCCAAGCTCTACAGGCATGTATCACCATGCCCAGGCTCAATCACCACCTCAGTGCGCCCCGGGGGTGGCGCCAGCACAGCATGCTGGGGATCAAAACCCCTTGTCCCTGTACCTGCCTAAGCAGACACTTTAGTCTGCTGAGCAATCTGGCCGGTGCCCACCCCTCTATGGACACACCAGCCAATATGACTGCTACAAAAATCATCCTAAAATCCATATGGAATTAGAAGAGCAAAAGCAATCTTGTATAACAAAAGCAATGCAGGAACTTCAAGTTTTATTACAAATCCATGACAAATACAACACAGTACTGGCAAAAAAAACTGGTATGTGGACCAACGGAACAGACTGGAGCGATGTCAGCAAACCTTTTAGAAAGTGACCAAACTGCAACCCCAAACCTATTAATATACCACAAAGTGCCAACACTAAATAAAATTAAACCTGAACACTGAGGTTTTCGCTTGAAAAAATTGCTATCTAATGATACGCGACATAGACAACTTGGCTTGTGTGTCCACAGAGGGAGCTGTGTGCCTGCTGCGACACACATGCTATAGGTTTGCCACCCCTGGATTAGAGGATACAGAAGCAAACCTAGGCACATTCAGCTATCTGATCTTTGACCAGGGAACTTGGTCACACACTGGAGAAAACTGGGAAAAATGGATATACACAGGCAGAAGTTGGAAGATCCCTATGTCTCACCATGTTAAAATAAAGTCAAAATAAAGATCTAAATATTAAAACAGACAGAATCTGCTGGACAATTTTTAGGTAAAAATCTGAAAGGCATAGGCAAAAGCAAGGACTTTTGACCAGAACCCAAATTACACAAAAAATAGCATCTAGAATCAATCAATGGGATCATATCAAATTAAAAAG